CCGATGCGGGACTCGATCCCGGGACTCCAGGATCATGACCTGAGCCGAAGGCAGTCGCTTAACCGACTGAGCCACCCAGGCGCCCCTCACACTGTACTTCTCACGGCCACCCTGTGATGCAGGTACCATCACAATCCTCATTTCATACATGAGGACACGGAGGCTTGGGGACATTGAGTGACCTTCCCGAGATCATGACAGGAGAATTGAGACCCAAGCCCGGGCTCATCCCTCCCAGAGCCCACCCTCTGTAAACAACTATGCTAATATTTGTCCAAGATCAATGCTAATGTAGGAACGGGCTCTTCCGCTTTCCTCTCCCCCCAACCCCTGCACTCCTCCCAAAGTCTCAGCATTCAGCACACCCTTCCCATCCCTCGATGGCTCCACTGTGTCCTCAGCACAGGCAATATCTGATTTTTTCACCATACTTCCCACATCAAGGATGCTTTTGGCTTGACTACAGCGTAGACCGTGTTTGCTTAGAAAGAAAACTCCTTTCCTGACGTTCTTCTGCTCTCTCTAGAAATCTGACACTCTTTCCTTTGCCCTGGTTTAGAAATGCATTTGGTCTTGCGGCCCCTGGCCCAGGTCCCCACATGCAGAAGGGTGCTGAGAGCCAGAGGCTGGCTGGATTCGGGGGGTTAGGGTGCTCCCCCCCCTGCCCAGGGACAGGACGCTGAAGCCTACCGATGAAGGAGGGCTGGAACAGGGTCTCTGGGCAGCGGAAGCGCTCATTCCCGATGGTGATCACCTGCCCATCGGGCAGCTCGTAGCTTTTCTCAAGGGAGGAAGACGACGCAGCTGTGGCCATCTCGTTTTCAAAGTCCAGAGCCACGTAGCACAGCTTCTCCTTGATGTCCCGGACAATCTCACGCTCAGCTGTCAAGATACAAACATGAGGGTTTGTGCAGGTGGTGAAAATCCACCCACCTTACTTGGGTCTCTCCTCCAAGAAGGGTTCCTTCAAAAACATGTGTAACTTCGATATCATGCAAGCCAAAATCCATGATGGCAATTAAACTCTAGGTCCTCGAGGGAGCCACTTCTGTCCCTAGCAGAGGGATAGGCTCCTCAAAAATATGGTCTGGAAAATGCATGACAGGAAGAAAAGGAGCTAGCTAAAGGCACAGAGCAGGGCATCCTTCTATACGTTACATTTGGGATTTTTTTTTTTTTCAGGATTAACTATTCACTCTCTGTTACAATTGTCTTATAATAGTTTGTCATATTGGATTTTCAGTTGACCAGGAAGTCTTATGCTTTGGGGCCCCCACAGTTTTCAAAAAGCTCCAGAGACCCATGTTGCCCGGCCCAGGTAGGTCCCAGTTCACACCGCTGGCATATTCATCACCTTCCAGAAGGAGGCAGGCCCTGGCTCAGGACCGGTCCTAGCCCAGGAGGCTCAGGGATGCGTAGTGAAGGAGGTGTGGAAGAAGCAGGCAGCCAGTACCTTTCAGACTCCTGCACTCTGAACTTCTAAGTGTTGGCTGCACCTAGGCCCCTGGGGCCTTTTGGAAATTTTCTGGGGTTCTTTTGTGGAGAGCAGAAGAGGAATGTAGGAATGAATTCAACTCCCTACCCCAGAAGGAAATTTAAAACCCACAGAGCTCAAGCTCAGAGTCTATAATAAACCTCAGGCGTGTCCAGACACGGAAACATGTGGACACCACCAGCTCGATGGGGGGAGGGCAGGCAGCCAGGGCCATGGGCACTGAGGATGCCCCAACGTGTCCAGCACCAGCTGAGGTCGCCTCTTGCAGATACAGACGGGGCGGCACCAGCTTGGAGGCCAAAGACACGTGAACAGCTTTCTGCTGGGTTGGCCTTCAAACTAGCTAACAGTTATTGACTAACTGACTCACAAATGTGGAATTACTCAGTGCTGGGAATTCCACGTGCTTGGTGTCGTTCAATACAATAATCATGTGAGGGGTGACCCCCCATTCTACAGATGGTTTGGTGAGGTTGGGTCACCCTGCTGGCGGGGGCAGGACCAGGCCCTGGGCCCTTCCCTGGTGTCTCCAAGAGCGCCAACCATCACTTTGAGCCAAAAAGGCCGTGCTTTGTTGTGGGCCTTAGAGTCAGGCCTTGCCACCCGCACGGTCCCCTCCCATTGTTTCCCTGGATGGTCACCAGGGTCCTGCACGTCGCTGTGAAGGAGACGCGGGCCCTTCGCCCCCAGCCCTCCCTCCCACCCATCTCACCGGTTGTCACGAAGGAGTAGCCACGTTCAGTCAGGATCTTCATGAGGTAGTCGGTGAGGTCACGGCCAGCCAGGTCCAGACGCATGATGGCGTGGGGCAGAGCGTAGCCCTCGTAGATGGGCACATTGTGGGTGACCCCGTCCCCGGAGTCCAGCACGATGCCTGGGGGACAAATGGGCACGATGAAAGTGACCGCAGCAGCAGGTGCGTGGGCCCTGGCTGGCCGAGTGGCAGGGGAGTTTCTGAGCCTCTGATTTGAAAGAGAAGAGAGAGAGCATGTGAGAGCATAGGACAGGCAGGACAGGGCTTGGGGAAGATAGAGAAAGAGGAGGAAGAGCGAGAGAAAAAGGCCTGCTGGAAATAAGAGCTCGAGGGCTTGTTTTTCAAGGTGGGCTGGCATTAGGCTTGTCAGCTCTAGCCAGCCCCCAGTCCGTCCAAACACCATGTTTACAACCATCAAACCCCATCATGGACGGTGCACCCAACCTGGGCTCCCACCTACCAGTCGTGCGTCCAGAGGCGTAGAGGGACAGCACTGCCTGGATAGCCACATACATAGCCGGGACGTTGAAAGTCTCAAACATAATCTGCAAGGCAAGCCAAAGCACTGAGTTAGTGATGCTGCTGCCAGTCTCGGCCAGAATGTTCAAGAGAGCGCCCCCTGCAGGTGGGCTCAGAATATAGACTGGCTCTGGGCAGAGGACGCTGTGCCCTGAGGGTGCAGGCAAGGGAAGGGGCTCTGTGCACACATGACCGGTGGGGGTATACAGCTGACCACTGTGGGCTTCCTTCCTGGTCGCTCAACTGTAAACGGAGGGGTCTGGACTAGGCGAGCTCCCAGTGTGAGCAGCCTAGGACCTGTTCATGATATCAAAGCCAAAAGATAAAGAGAAGATGACATTCAGGTTCAGACTTCTCTGGTCTACAGAAGGAGACCTTTGACCAGAAGCTCAGACTGGTTGGGAAGGAGCCCATTTCTGTGATTCGTCTGAGGTTCCTGTTCATCTGTTCCATTTTTTCATGTAGTTGTTGAGTCAATGTCAGGCCTAGAATCCAAGGCCACTTTGGCTGCAGTGGAAGGGACCTTGATCCTGGAAGACGAGAAATGCCCACTGGTAGCAGAGGGCCCTATATGAACACCAGTGCCTCAGCTCACAGTCTGGGGACAAGACCAGAGCCGCTGCAGGTCACTCGTGGGAAGGCTGCGCACACGGAGATGCCCACGGGCCTCCCCTTCCCCATCCACCAAACCCTGCTTGGTCTATCCACCAGAATATCTGACATCGTTTGCTAGACCACCGTGATTCCCAACTGCTTTTCTGCCCCCACACCATTCCCAGGGACAAGAACACCCATCAGAAACGACATCGCTCGCCACATGGAGGGACACCCAGGCGCACAGAGGTCCCCCTGCAGAGAATGACCGCACGTGTTGGTGTAAGCACACCAACCCAGAGCTCTTCTGAGGAAAAGGCCCTGCAGTATTTACATTTATTGACCCCAAAGATCCAAGGTCAACTGCAACCTCTGCCGCTTCTAGCTGTATGACCTTGGGACACTCACCTCGTGTATGCGATCCTTGAATTGTTCATTTATATAATCAGCTATATCATTGTATATTCATTTATAGAATATAATCTGCTTCACGTTGTTCAGATTTAAAGAGACAATGCACGTAAACCGCTTAACCCAGAGCTTCACTATAGCAAGCATTAAGCTGACACTGGATGCTTTTATTTGATAGTTCATCCAAACTGGAAGGCTTGTCTGGCTGGTGGAATGGATGATCTACTGGAAAGTCTTTGAGCTTCAGACAAGTCACAATGATGACAATAAAAACTATTATTTGTTAAACGTTTATTATATCAGGCACCGCAAAACACATTTGACATTTTGCCTCATTGATCTTCACATCAACACTTTGAAAAATAATAGTACTAGTCTTATTCCCAACACATAGACAAGGAAACCAGGGATCCAAGAAATTAAGTGGATTCGTTAAGCTCACGTAGCTGAGAAGCGACAGATCCCTGGCTGTATGTTACCCTGCATTTTGAAATGATTTCTCCTTAGAAGTTTTTAACTTAACACGTCCAACCTTCCCCATTACATATTCTAATTTCCTATTGCTTTTGGAGTCAAGGGGCAGTTCCCTCCCATAAGGATATGAGTACCATCAAGATGTTTCTGTCCTTGGGAATCCCCAAGTTCCTGGGAAATTGTTGGTCTGCAAGTGGGCTGTTGGGGTGGGCCTCCTCTCTGCTGTCCTGTCCCATCCCTTTCAAATAGGACTCTCCCCAAGCCCCAGAGTGCTAGATCCTGGAGCGGCTATTTACCTGGGTCATTTTCTCCCGGTTGGCCTTGGGGTTCAGGGGCGCCTCAGTGAGCAGAGTTGGATGCTCTTCAGGGGCAACGCGAAGCTCATTGTAGAAAGAGTGGTGCCAGATCTAGCGGGGGACCAAGGAGAAACACAATGAGGTGATGTTGTGGAGGGCTGCGGACCCCCAGAAAGGGACCAGAATGAGCTAGCTGAAACTAGGACCAAATAGTATGTTACGAGCCCTCACGAAATATCCACTTTTTACTGACACAGAGACTGAAGCTCAAAGACTATGAGTAACTTACCCAAGGATTCACATCAAGGAGGTGACTCAGCGAAAACCCAAACCCAGGTCAGTGGGGCAGGATGGCTTAGCGGTTGAGGGCACAGGGTCTAGCTAGCATCAAATCTGGGTTCAAATCCCAGCTCAACCACTTCTTGGTTGTGCAAGCTAAGGCAAATTTTAATCCTTCCCAGCTCACCTCACCATGGGTAGTATGAAGATAAGTAGTATGTCTTGGCGAGAACCCTAGAGTTACTATTTACTCCAGCACCTGGCCCAGAATAAATACTATTATTATTATTAATCAACCATACCTTTGTTTAAAGTAATCTCTATGCCCAATGTGGAGTTTGAACTCACAACCCCGAGATCAGGGGTCTCATGCTCTTCGGACTGAGCCAGCCGGGTGCCAACTATATCTTTACCCCTACTACCACTTTAGTTAATATTCATGGGAAAATGATTTAGTTTAGCAAGTAAAGGGACAAATGAGTGAATGAATGAATAGATGAATGAAACTGACCTGAAAATCTAGTTACCATTTTTAATACTTTTTGGGAAATTTCCCTCTGCAACCTATGCTAAGAAGACAGGTGTCCCCGTCTCCACCTCCACCTCCTCCGTCCCCCTCTCTACTCTCCAGGGCTAGGAGAAGCCTGCCTTCATGCACACGCTCCAGACCTTCCATTCGTGGGCAGATATTTGGCCTTCAGGTGTTTTGAAAATAGCCTGTGCCTTTTGATAGCGCATCTGTATGATGCACTTGGACATGAGTGTGTTCGCTTCATGGTTGAGCATCCTCTTTAATCATCAATGCCAAAAAGAACAGACCATTGTAAAAAGGGCCAAATTAATTATTTTTAAGGGCCTGAAAAGTCTTCGTTAGCACTAGGAATATTAGATTCATCCAGAACTGAAACAAAACAAAACAAAACAAAACAAGAACTGCTTGCAAAAGTTTTATAAATCCACCAAAGCCAGATTGACTTTAAAGATTCTTTATCTTGTTCCAGTTTCTTTGGTTTTGAAGTTGTGGTTTCTAAAAAGGAAAGAAGGCTCTTGAATGTTGTACTCTTTTGATGGAATAAAAGTAGCAGAGTGCTCAAGAAATTCCGCCCGAAATGTCACATTGAGCAAACAACCAACCCCTCCCCACCGCCGGCAAACCTCTCTCTCTCTCTCCAGAAGACACTTTAAATTTCTGTTTTAGAAATGACGAAATGCTTTATTCATCCCAATTCTCTAGGTGCATGCAAGCTGAGATGCTGCCAGCCTCATGGAGAAACTCTTAGAGTATTTCCTACTGCTATTAATACCTTCTCATCTCTGCAAATTGCAGCTTTAACCAAATCCGGCATCTCAGACAAAGCAAACCTAATGAAATGCTGTTGAAGAGAAGTAGAGTCCTTGGCATTATTACTGATAAATTCTAGCAATACTATTTTCTTTCTCTTAAACTGGTGAGACTGTGTGTGTGTGTGTGTGTGTGTGTGTGTAGGGAGCTGACAAATAAAAGTCCAGATATTGTGGTTCTAATATTTTGCAACATTAAAAAAATTAATGTCATTTTCTCATTAGCCTGTCTGCTTTTTCTCCAATCACTTGTGTTTCTACGATGTCTAATAACAAACATTAAAATCCTAGGATTTGGGGCGCCTGGGTGGCTCAGTCGGTTAAGTATCTGACTCTTGATTTCAGCTCAGGTCATGATCTCAGGGTAGAGAGATCGAGCCCTGCACTGGGCTCCGCCCTGGGTGTGGAACCTGCTTAAGATTCTCTCTCTCCCCCTGCCCCTCCTCCCCTCCCCGCCCTCTAAAAAAAAAAAAGTCCTAGGATTTAACTCTTCCCATAAGCTCTTTTATATGAAATTGGGAGATAAAGCATTCACTTAATGCAACACAGAGAGGTACTTTTCAAAATATTTAAAAATTTTTGTCAGTTCCTTGTGCCTCAGTATACTGGGAAACGTTCAGGAATGTACCAAATCTGCAATGTCATGGGTCCTGCTTGTATAGTGAAAACTAAAACACTTAAAAAAATGTTCAGGGTGATTAATGAAAAGCTTTCCAGCATGGATGGGGCAGAGGTGGCTTGGCTCCTCTCCTCGCCTGGGAGGCACAGCCTTTCTGCTGCTGGTGAGCAGGGGGGGTGGGGGTGAGTTAATTCCCCTGGCTGCGGGCCCTGGGAGGGTAATCCAGTTGACTGACCCAACAGACTATTAATTCCCACCCCTGGCAAAGGGCTACTGTTCTCATCTGCCAAACAGTCTCCCTCTAACTAGTTTATAAACCCTGTTAGGCAAGGGATTTTTTTTTTTCAACAGTAGCAAGATGTTTTGAACCAGGCCATGGAAAATTATGCATCCTGAAGGCTCAACCTACAGAGAAGCTCCCAGTACCTTTTCCATGTCGTCCCAGTTGGTGATGATGCCGTGTTCTATCGGGTACTTCAAGGTCAGGATTCCCCTTTTGCTTTGTGCTTCGTCACCCACGTAGCTGTCCTTTTGTCCCATTCCCACCATCACTCCCTACAAAGATTCAACACAGCCTGAGTCAGCTGCCCCCAGAACTTGTGAACTGATGATGATCCAATCACAAAGGGTTAAATCGTTGCAATAGGAAGTTCCTCTTTTGGTGCCAGCAACTTGACATTCTGTCTTATGGTCACTATGCCCTTAAGCAACGTCCCTCAGTTGATGGGCAACAGGCCTGAATCAGTCTCTAAATAGCAGAGGGCCCCATGGGTAAAGCAACCTTACATTGTATTTTTTTTATCTGCTCTGTTTCTTACTGAGCTCTGTTAGGGCAGAGATTGTCATTATAACCAATTGCCCAGCAAGTACTTATCACTCAATAATTACTTGTTAAATGAATGCATGAAATTTTACATATAAGTTAAATGGCACTTTGCCTCTTATAAATCCTTGAAACTATACTGTTAAAGTTGTCACCCACCCAAGAGATGTGAATATTTTCTAACCATTATAAGCAAAAGCATTATATAGGCAAATGACCACTCAGTGCTTGATTTCTAATAGATAACTCCATACCAATCAACATTAAGACATTTGCCTAAACTAGTCGGAAGTATGTTTTTAATCATTAAAGTGAAGCTTAAAAAAAGCAACAAGAGAAAGGAAATTCTCATTGTTGGGATTTTAAATGGCACTGGAGTGACTTTCAGAATTGCAAAACAGTCGTGGTTACTAGAGAGCCATGACTAGTGGTTTGTGCGAAGTATCTCCATTGCACACAGTTCAGAGGCTGATTTCAGATTTCATTCATTGGAAGAGGCTATTATTTACTCTTATGACTATATGCCAAACTGAGAGCCATAAATATCAATCAGATAAGCTCAATTCGCAACTACGTTGCTGATGCGAAGGAGAATTTCTAAGGTGAAATTCTCCCCTTTTTACCATGTGGCTGCCCCCAAAGTTTTGTTTATACGTAACGTCCTATAAAATTACCAGGTGGCTGTCCCCTATGTCACTGACTCCTAAAATATGTAAAACTACATTTGGTAGCAATGCCTCCTTCCATCTAATCTCAAGATCTTTGAGAGTGAGTGATCTAGGCATTTATTTTAATTTCCTTCCAAAGAGTGGCTGTGGTATGCATTACTAGGTAACTCACAGTATTTCTGATGATGATAATGACCGTATCGAGACAAAAAGGAATTGTGAGAAAAGGTTAACTTTATGTCTGATAGACACCCACCGGATAATCTTTCTACATGGTGTATGAAATTCATACTTATTCCTAGACATCAATCATCAGAGGTATGTTTATAACAAGGTTACATAATTTCTGGGCAGAGAGCAAGAGACGGTCTGTGGATACCCACGGACACACAGACATAGAGGGACCTCGTCTATAGCCCCGTTTCTCTCTATTCCAATCAGAATTGTTTTTACTGAATACATTTGATGTGCAACATTGTGTGAGTTTAAGGTGCACAGCCGTTATCTTGATACATTTCGATGTTGTCATGTGATTGTCAATGTTGCGATATTTATCGCGTTAAGTAATTATGGTACGATATTGCTCACCTGATGTCTGGGGCGTCCCACGATGGATGGGAAAACAGCCCTGGGAGCATCGTCCCCAGCAAAGCCAGCCTTACAGAGCCCAGAGCCATTGTCACACACCAGGGCAGTGCTGTCCTCCTCTTCACACATTTTGATGGAGCTGCTTCACAGGGTCCTAGGGGAACAGGGACGAAGCCCACCCAGCTGTCATCCCGAGATCATGGCACTTGACTGACCACTCCTACTCTCTACTCCTAGAGCGCACACCACAGGCCCTTATCACAGCATTTATCTCAAAGTACTTTAATTAGCCTGAAAGCTTTTTACAAGCCACAACTCAGAAGTCCAAGTTCATAACTGGCCTCCAACACAGTGGCTGGCCCATCATCTGAGAAGCACTTTAAACAATGACCAAGCAATGGGCGCCTGGGTGGCTCAGTCGGTTAAGCATCAGCCTTTGGCTCAGGTCATGATCTCAGGATCCTGGTATTGACCCCACGTCGGGCTCCCTGTTCAGCGGGGAGTCTCCTTCTCCCTCTCCCTCTGCCCCACCACCTGCTCGTGTTCTCTCTCTCTCTCTCTCTCAAATGAATAAATAAAATCTTAAAAAAAAAAAGAATGACCAAGGAAGTGAATGAATGAGCAACTGTAGAGCACAGATGGGAATATCAGACTAGGAGATCAGATCTTCACAGAGACAAGTCATTTGTCATATGTTAAAGAAGTTTCTGGCATTTGCTGTCTGTATCAACCCAAACACATTTTTCTAGATAGGTTATCACGTTTAAATATTTTCTTAACAGGGCAGACTTTGAGGGATGGGCAGCATGGGAAAATTTGGAAATGCTGAGATATTGAAACGTTTAATGTAAAGTGTTGAAAAATCTCTTCTGGGACCTGAGAACTGTTATTTTACGTTTGGAAAACCATTAGAGCTAATTGAAACTTTCTAAGACGGTGCTTTAAATTTTAGGGGGCCACCGTTATTCTCCATTAATAAAAATCACAGCTAACCTAAACTTCCAAGTGAAGGAGAGTCTAATAAATTACACATCAGGTAGTAGAATACCTTCCTGCCATTAGAAAAGATAAAGGATAGGGAAAAGTATATTCCATGTAAGAATGATAGATTAGAGAAAATAACATCATATGATTCTATTTAAAAATGTATTTTATGGGCGCCTGGGTGGCTCAGTTGGTTAAGCGACTGCCTTCGGCTCAGGTCATGATCCTGGAGTCCCGGGATCGAGTCCCGCATCGGGCTCCCTGCTCAGCGGGGGGTCTGCTTCTCCCTCTGACCCTTCCCCTCTCATGCTCTCTGTCTCTCATTCTCTCTCTCACCAAAAATAAATAAATAAATAAATAAAAAATAAAAATGTATTTTATGCATTGAAAAAAGATTAATTATATTTACCAAGACGTTGATGGGTATTATTTTGAAGAGGGGGGTGGTTTGTGTTTTTAATGATCTTTCCTGGGTCCTGTCATGTTTTCTAAATTGAACATGTATTCTTTTAGTAATAAAACAATATTTTTAATATCCTACTCTTATGCTTGGATCCTATCACCAAATTTGAAAGGTTGGAGCAAAAGTAGCAACTTTATAGATTTGGGAAATTGAAGGTTTGTTAGAGAGACCGTTTTCATTCACTGCCTTCATTTTTATTAATGAGAAAACCCAGAGGAAGTATTTTGCTCACGGGCACGCAGGGCGTTGGAGGAGAGTTGAATCAGAGATCAGGTCCCTTTGGCTACCTCCTTGACTTTCAGTTTATATTCCCTTGCATTTTTCCAAGCAGAATTAGGTGGAAATATCTCGTAAAGAGAGGGACACCCAGAGTTCTCTGCTCGACTTCGAGATCTTAAGATTTCAATCTGAGGAAGATTCTTCTAAGTTGGTGAACTCACTGCACACCCAGACCCAGATATAAAAGGCAATTCCTTTAAGGAAATTTCTGGGGTGTGAGGAAAAGAAAATGCTTTTGCAGTTGGAGTTCTTCCAGATCATTCCCAGGAAATCAGTGCTATATCTTTCCAAACGCCATGTAACCCTTTGCAAAGAGCATGAACCTCAACTGAGACCATGCATTTTAAAATCTGGGACAGGTGCTATTCTCTGCAATTGACAAACAAGGAAATCAAGACTCAAGGAATCGTAGTGACTTGTCCAAGATCCCAACACTGGTAAAGTTAGGACCACAGAGATGACAGAGCGTGATGATTATGGGCTTATGCTCTGCAGTCAGACTGCCTGGGTTTGAGTCCGGACTCCACCCCTTAGAAGCCGGGTGACTTAGTAAAGTATTTAAATCTCTAAATCACAGTTTCCTCTCTGTAAGACAGCAAGAAAATCAGTACATGCTACATAGAGTTCTTATGATGGGGGGTTAGATTTTTTTTAAAAAGCATTTAAAATAATTTGTAGTGGCATACACATTATGAGTTCTCAATAAATGTTACAGTTATGATGATTAGTATCATTATATAATTATCCTCATTATCCACATCTCTGTATTTCTAGTCTTTGCTTTCTTTCCAAGCATAGCATGGAGATCCTTGACCTGTGGATTCCACTTGTAAGAATGCTCTTTCCATCCCCACCCACCTTTTCCCTTCCCAGACACTGGATTCTGTTGGGCATTCGTGTGATCTGGCTTCCGTCCTCGCAGAACAAGAAGCTGGAGGAGAAGTGAGAAATGCAGAGGAGACAAGACAGAACAGGCGGTAAGAGCTGGAAGCATGTGTGAGATGCAGCCAGCTCCAAGCGGCAGGCTGTCTGTGGATGTGCTAAGCAGACTTTCCAAACCAAAAGAGTTGAAAACAGGATGAATTATTTGGAAATCGGACACTCTGAAAATGCGACGAGACGATCACCGTGAGTGCACATGTCCTTACTAACTCTCTTCTTGGCCAGGAGGGCTTGAGGGGGGTGGGGAGTGTCTGAATATACTGCAGAAAAGGGAGGCTGACCCTCAGCATCGGCAAGCATGCAGAAAAAACATCTCAAAATTCAGTAAAAGTGTTTTTATTTGGCAAAAAATGTCCAGAAGGGATTTTCTAATCTCTCGGATGAGCACTGTCGTTAGAGAAGAAGTCTCTGTGTCCCCAGAAAGAAGCTGGCTCAGTGATTTACAACCCTTATCTATAACCTGAATGAGCAGCTCGGTTTGGAGGTTTGGAGCAAAGCATTTCCTAATTAGGTAAAACACACTCGAGTGTCTGCTTTTGGAACTGCCCCCTGGTCAGGGGGGTTGCTCCAACTGCCTCGCGTGCATCTTGTGCCAAAAATGAGTAGTTAGTGGCGGGGCGGGGGAGGG